TCTGTAGAGTCGTGCAGAAGCAGAATATCAACGAACCGCCCTTGTATTCCGGGAATTAAGGAAAAACCTTCAGGATAGGGAGCACTCTCTTCTTCAAGGGCTATCCAAAGTCAGCAATGACTTGAAGCAAATGCAGCGGGAGAATGAGAGCAAGATTCAGCAGGGAGCTCCACTTCTACAAGGATTGATCCTGGAACTCGAGCAAAAGTGTCAACAATCAGATACCGAGTTCCTCAAGGTAAAATTAGATGGCCAAGAAGGGGGAGTCTGTGTGTGTTTATTTATTTATTTTACCCATAAAGAGATATGAGTAAAATTACAATTGGAATACAAATCCCATACTCATCAACCAGCATGGCCAGCTTTTGCTGAGGAATTCTGGCAAATTGTAGTTCAAAATGAACTTTTTTGAGTTTTCCCAAAACTTTTCATTTCTGGCCCAAGCAGATGATAACACAGTTGTTATTATGTATCCATGGGATCTGCATCCACAAATTGAAAATATTAAAAGAAAATGCAAAAAGCAAGCCTTGACTTTGCTATTTTATATAGAGGACACCATTTTACTACACCATTGTATATAACTGAATATGGATTTTGGTATCCATTGAGGAATCTTGGAACCAAACCCCAGTGGATACCAAGGGCCCACTGTACAGATATTGATGGGAGTAAAGGCTGTCCACAAAGGAGAAATTCCCAGTATTTCCAATAGTATAGTGAAAGGTTGCAAGCCCTTCTTGGTTACAACTCTCTGGCTATCTGAGCAGCAAATGTTTTTGCATTGCTTTCCACTACCTCAGATTTTTTTTCAAGACACACATGCTCTCTTCCAGTAGAAGAAGTGGTAGCACTTCAGTAGTTCTGGTGCATTGTGGAAGTTTTAGTCCACGGCATCATCCCATTTCTTTTGACCTGTTTATCTACCCTTTGGGAATTCCTGTTTCTCACATCTCTGCTTTTCCCCCATCTCTTTTTTAGGATGTTGAAAGCTACCTAAACAGGTAGGCAATTGCTTGGCTTTGACCTTTTAAAAAAATTGATTCTTTCTGTTTCATTGTTTAAGTTACAAGAGCAGGAATAGGCACCCTACCCTATGTATTCATGCATAAGTCAATTTTTTTGGTCAAAAATCTATTTAAAACCTGGGGCAACTTATCTATATGTCAATATGAATACTATACCTGAATTCTCTCTCATATATATATATATATGGAAAGAATTTGGGTATAATACTGATATTGACATATAGATGAGTTGCCCCAGGTTTGTGATACACACACACACACATACCCATACCCTTCTCGGATTCGGATGGCAAAACGTAAGAACTCAGTCCATCCTGGGAAAGGGTAAAAGAAGCACAACAGTCTATACTTTCTCCACCATGGTTGCTTCTGATATTTTTGAATGCCTTGGATGGGAAGTGCCTGTGGCTAAGGGCAACTGTCCTCCTGAAGTTGCATTATTTGGCATGACTTATCCACAAGTCATACCAAAATCCATACCAAAATCCATTGTTATGGCCCTAAAACCTTCCCTTGACAAGAGGCCGACTTATACATGGGTATATATGGTAAATGACCTATGGATGGTTTTGACTTTGTTTTTGTTATGTGCCATCAAGTTGACTTCTGAATTACAGGCCTTCAAGAGCCACTCTCATCAGCAGCTCTGTTCAGGTCTTAAAAACTCAGGCTCATGGCTTCCCCAGTTGCTTTTCCTACTGCCTTCCACTTTAGCTAGCATTATTATATCTTCCAATGTGTTGTGTTGGCTCTTTAGTAAGAATTCAAGCTCCATTTGTTCTCTCTCTCTCTCTCTGTATGTGCCTTGAATTTGCCTGCCAATTTATGGTGACCCCCTAGATTTCAAATGGTTTTCTAAGGCAAGGAATCCTCAGAGGGCGTTTGGCCAGCTCCTTCATCTGAAATCTAGCTTATAGCACCGGGTATTCATTCTTGGTCTACCATTCAAGAATTTATTTATTTACCATATTTGTATACCACCCTTCTAAGCATGACTGACCCTACTCAGCTTCCAATAACAGACAGAAGTTGGT